GGGGGATGAGACACTTGAGCGTTTGCAGCTCCCATGTTGCTTGTTCCCATGTTCTACACAGGTTGTGAAATCTTCTCACTTGAGTTCCCAACCCCGCCCACCCTCTGCCACCATCACTGGCCCTGTTGGAGTGAGTGGTGATAGGTCTGAGACTCCAGGCCATGGAGATCTGGTTACAAGATAACACCCTCACCCAGCTCCAAACTCTTCAGCTCCCTTTTGTTCTTTGGCAACAAATATGTGCGGATTTTGTGCGTTGCATCATTCGGTGCATTTTATTATTATTGGTGAATGTCTTTGTGTTCTTGGCTCGGTGCTCAGCTCACATCGCAGTCTGACTCTTGGCTTCTGCAGAAATGTTGGGGTGGCTGAGGATTTGGTCATATCCTGGACATTGCCAGATTGAGGAAGTGAGTCAGTGCAAATATATCACCCGGGGAGCAGAAATCAATCAGGAACTCTGATACAGTCTGTGATATCGCCCATTCCGTCTTGGCCTGCCCTTGGCCATGTCAGCACATGTATCTTCTGATTTGGCCCAGGCTTGCCATCTCTGTTATTCGTCAGCCTCCCTGAGGTGTTGTAGAGCTTTCCAAGAAAGGCGACCTAGCTGTTTGGCCTTCACTTGCCATCAGAAGCCTTTATTTGCTCTCTCAGAGATTGTGCATCAGGTGCCAAAGACTTGCCTACGTAGGACTTCCATTTTGCTGTTATTTGGGCATGCCATCCGAAGCCTTGGTCACTTTCTCAGGGGTGATTCACAAAGATCTTCGCCAATAGAAGTACCTAGACGTCACTTGGCCATGTCATCAGAAGTCTTTGTCACTCTCCCAATGGTGCTGCACCAAGACCTTTCCCAAACTTTGCTGTTCGGCTTGGCCTTCACATACCATCAGAAGCTGGTGTTACTCTCTCAGAAGTCGTATGCCAAGCGAGAGGCTCCTGCTTCTGCCTTTGCCTTATGGCTACCATCTTAGAGGCATGAAAGCAATCATTTAGCCTTTGCTTTCAGTTGGCCATGCCATCAATATCTTCTGCCAGTTTATCAGGCCTTGCACCATGCTCTTCTTCCACTTCAGCATTGCCTTGGATTGTCTCCAACCTCCCGTTGCTCCATCTCTGTGTCTTCTTGCTCAATGTTTAATCCCTCCAGCACCACTTAAGACCTACAGCAGTCTTTTTTCTCCTGCCCAGAGCTGTCTTTGAGCCTCAAGGTTACTCTTAGTATCTTCATGTCTTCGGGCAGCCTGGTCAACCAGTCCCTGAACTCTCTGCACAGAACGTAGCCCCTTACCTTCTTGTTGAAGGCATGGTCATCTGTCTGTGCCCAGCTCAGTGGCTCCTGCTGGGCAGAGGAAGGCTGGTAGCCCAAAATAATCAAGGCGTCCTTCAGGTTCCTAAGTAAGGCCTCCGAGGCTCTTCGAGCCACCTCCAGGAGCCGAAGGAGATCTGCAGCTGCCGGGTTTAGGGAGTTCTGATCATCCAGGGCCAGCTGGAAGAACTCGGAAATAGCCGAAAAGGCATCTCTGGCCTGAAGGAGGCGTTCTCCGGGGCACAGACATCGCCACGTCCGGTAGCCCAGTGCAGCAGTGGGCAGCCCTTTCTCCAACCAGTAGGGGAAGCTGAAACCGGACATGCTGAAGGGCGGTCCTTGGTACTGCAGCTGTATGAGGAGGACACAAGAAGAACAAGCGGTCAGAAAGCTCATCAGGAGAACCTCCCCTTGTGCCAACATGGCAGAACAGAACTTTGTGGACAGACTTCCCCCCTAATTCTCATTCCTCCCCCTGTAACTAGCTCACTCCTTTTCCCAAAGTTGAATGTTTAAAGGGAAGCGGGGTAATTATATGTTTCCTATTACAACACTGAATTGGATGATGTAATTTTAAAGGGGGATCCTTCTAGGCAGCTTCATGTTATATCTCAATATCTACAAAATATCAGCAGGTAAGGATCTGCGATAGAGTTTTATGGAATCATTACAATGTATATGTCGGGTGGAGGTTTGCAGTGGCTCTTGAAGTAACATGGTCAGGTTAGCGCCCCGAACTGCATGTCACGGGTGTCGGGAGATAGGAATTCCACACCCCTGCCGCGCCTCTACTCCCTGCTGCCCCAAGGCCGGGCCTTGTGGGAAATCCAGCCCTGAACATGGGTTGGGTACAGCATATAGGAGATGTTGGCCACCAACAAATCTAGCCTGACACGCACAGTACAATCTGATCTCACAGTCCAGCTCTCATAGATTCTCACCTTACACGGCATTTAGACAATTGTTACATTTTAATATTTGCCGGCACACATTGTGAAATCTCACTTCTATACAATTCAGTGTGTGTGTGTGTGTGTGTGTGTGTGTGTGTGTGTGTGTGTGTCAAGCTTTATCATATGGTGGAGTTCAGGTCACTCACATAGGTGTTCAGCGTCAGTGTGGAGTTCTCGCGGTGTAGCAGGGCCAAGCTCTGGATCTGGGTGATAATCTCTTCCGATGACAGAGGCGCGGCGACACATCCTGGGTACCAGAAGCTGACGCTGAGGGCCAGAACTGCTGCTGAGATAAGAACAGTTCTGTATGATTACAGCCAATACTACAACCTGCACCCCGAACACAACACACACACACACAGCACCGGCCCCGCTCATATGACATCTGAAGTGTATCCAAAGTCAAAACTTATTTTGTTTGGATAGAGCTCGGTGTGATTCACCTTCTCTATTTGTCCTGCTGACCACCACCATCCAGACAGAAAGTGATGGGAAACCCACAATTTTAGAGTTGTCACCAGAACAAGAGGTGAGTGTTTTCTTTAGATGGGGAAACCTATTCCAGTGACGTCTCTTTAAGAGCCGAATACCCCTCACTTTGTACAGATTTCCTCATACTGACCACATGTCATACCCCCCACACTCCTCTCCTGTAGATACTGCCCCCCTGTCATACCCTCCACACTCCTCTCCTATACATACTGCCCACTTTCATCCCCCCCACACTCCTCTCCTGTAGATACTGCCCCCCTGTCATACCCTCCACACTCCTCTCCTATACATACTGCCCACTTTCATCCCCCCCACACTCCTCTCCTGTAGATACTGCCCCCCTGTCATACCCTCCACACTCCTCTCCTATACATACTGCCCACTTTCATCCCCCCCACACTCCTCTCCTGTAGATACTGCCCCCCTGTCATACCCTCCACACTCCTCTCCTATACATACTGCCCACTTTCATCCCCCCCACACTCCTCTCCTGTAGATACTGCCCCCCTGTCATACCCTCCACACTCCTCTCCTATACATACTGCCCACTTTCATCCCCCCCACACTCCTCTCCTGTAGATACTGCCCCCCTGTCATACCCTCCACACTCCTCTCCTATACATACTGCCCACTTTCATCCCCCCCACACTCCTCTCCTGTAGATACTGCCCCCCTGTCATACCCTCCACACTCCTCTCCTATACATACTGCCCACTTTCATCCCCCCCACACTCCTCTCCTGTAGATACTGCCCCCCTGTCATACCCTCCACACTCCTCTCCTATACATACTGCCCACTTTCATCCCCCCCACACTCCTCTCCTGTAGATACTGCCCCCCTGTCATACCCTCCACACTCCTCTCCTATACATACTGCCCACTTTCATCCCCCCCACACTCCTCTCCTGTAGATACTGCCCCCCTGTCATACCCTCCACACTCCTCTCCTATACATACTGCCCACTTTCATCCCCCCCACACTCCTCTCCTGTAGATACTGCCCCCCTGTCATACCCTCCACACTCCTCTCCTATACATACTGCCCACTTTCATCCCCCCCACACTCCTCTCCTGTAGATACTGCCCCCCTGTCATACCCTCCACACTCCTCTCCTATACATACTGCCCACTTTCATCCCCCCCACACTCCTCTCCTGTAGATACTGCCCCCCTGTCATACCCTCCACACTCCTCTCCTATACATACTGCCCACTTTCATCCCCCCCACACTCCTCTCCTGTAGATACTGCCCCCCTGTCATACCCTCCACACTCCTCTCCTATACATACTGCCCACTTTCATCCCCCCCACACTCCTCTCCTGTAGATACTGCCCCCCTGTCATACCCTCCACACTCCTCTCCTATACATACTGCCCACTTTCATCCCCCCCACACTCCTCTCCTGTAGATACTGCCCCCCTGTCATACCCTCCACACTCCTCTCCTATACATACTGCCCACTTTCATCCCCCCCACACTCCTCTCCTGTAGATACTGCCCCCCTGTCATACCCTCCACACTCCTCTCCTATACATACTGCCCACTTTCATCCCCCCCACACTCCTCTCCTGTAGATACTGCCCCCCTGTCATACCCTCCACACTCCTCTCCTATACATACTGCCCACTTTCATCCCCCCCACACTCCTCTCCTGTAGATACTGCCCCCCTGTCATACCCTCCACACTCCTCTCCTATACATACTGCCCACTTTCATCCCCCCCACACTCCTCTCCTGTAGATACTGCCCCCCTGTCATACCCTCCACACTCCTCTCCTATACATACTGCCCACTTTCATCCCCCCCACACTCCTCTCCTGTAGATACTGCCCCCCTGTCATACCCTCCACACTCCTCTCCTATACATACTGCCCACTTTCATCCCCCCCACACTCCTCTCCTGTAGATACTGCCCCCCTGTCATACCCTCCACACTCCTCTCCTATACATACTGCCCACTTTCATCCCCCCCACACTCCTCTCCTGTAGATACTGCCCCCCTGTCATACCCTCCACACTCCTCTCCTATACATACTGCCCACTTTCATCCCCCCCACACTCCTCTCCTGTAGATACTGCCCCCCTGTCATACCCTCCACACTCCTCTCCTATACATACTGCCCACTTTCATCCCCCCCACACTCCTCTCCTGTAGATACTGCCCCCCTGTCATACCCTCCACACTCCTCTCCTATACATACTGCCCACTTTCATCCCCCCCACACTCCTCTCCTGTAGATACTGCCCCCCTGTCATACCCTCCACACTCCTCTCCTATACATACTGCCCACTTTCATCCCCCCCACACTCCTCTCCTGTAGATACTGCCCCCCTGTCATACCCTCCACACTCCTCTCCTATACATACTGCCCACTTTCATCCCCCCCACACTCCTCTCCTGTAGATACTGCCCCCCTGTCATACCCTCCACACTCCTCTCCTATACATACTGCCCACTTTCATCCCCCCCACACTCCTCTCCTGTAGATACTGCCCCCCTGTCATACCCTCCACACTCCTCTCCTATACATACTGCCCACTTTCATCCCCCCCACACTCCTCTCCTGTAGATACTGCCCCCCTGTCATACCCTCCACACTCCTCTCCTATACATACTGCCCACTTTCATCCCCCCCACACTCCTCTCCTGTAGATACTGCCCCCCTGTCATACCCTCCACACTCCTCTCCTGTACATACTGCCCCCATCAAACCCTCCACACTTGTGTAACATTGTTTGTAAAATCCCCAAACTTTCCTGTTCTAGAACAAACATACTTTTAGTAGTAATAATAACCATAATGCACCTGATCATAAAATCATTTAACACTTGTGTACTCGATGGACTTGTGTCTTTATTCAACCTGACTATGTAACTGTATGTACATTTTTTCAATAAAGTTTTCAATAGCTAATATCTAATGAAAACAAATCTTTAACATCATTGGAACGCCTTATAGAAATATTCTCAGTGGATATAATGTGTCCTCAGACATTAAGATGTTAAAAGAAATGTCACTAAAATTGTACAGATTGTTCACAATAGCTAAAACCACCGATGTAAAGCCGCTTCATACATTACAATCTGATTGCGACTTTTCATTGTTCTACAGCTATGTAGTGTGCGGTCCGCAGGATTCATTATAAATAGATGAACTCTCTGCTACTTAGGATCAGTCTGCCTCCCCATCCCTTTGTATCACTCTCTGAATCTCTGTTACTTTATATCAATTTGGTGTTCTATCATATTATATAATTCTGATTCTCTCTGTTACTTTGTATTAGTCTGCCCCCTTTGTATCACTTTACCTTCTTGTATCACTCTCTGAAAATCTATGACATTGTATCATTCTGTGACTGTTACTTTGTATAAATCTGCTTCTCCATCACTTTTTGATTTTTGTAACTTTGTATCACTCTCTATGTAACAATTTTACTTGACATAATTCTGGATCTCTTTGTATCATTCTGGTTCTATTACTTTATATCACACTGACATTCTGTAACTTTAAATATGTCTGGCTTCCTGTTACTTATTCTTCTGGCTTTCTATTACATTGTATCATTCTCTCTATCACTTTGTATCATTCTCTCTATCACTTTGTATCATTCTCTCTATCACTTTGTATCATTCTCTCTATTACTTTGTATCATTCTCTCTATTACTTTGTATCATCCTCTCTATTACTTTGTACCATTCTATTACTTTGTATCATTCTCTCTCTATTACTTTGTATCATTCTATTACTTTGTATCATTCTCTCTCTATTACTTTGTATCATTCTATTACTTTGTATCATTCTCTCTCTATTACTTTGTATCATTCTATAACTTTGTATCATTCTCTCTATTACTTGGTATCATTCTTGTTCTCTTAGTTTGTATCATTCTATCACTTTGTATCATTCTTGTTCTCTTAGTTTGTATCATTCTATTACTTGGTATCATTCTATTACTTTGTATCATTCTATTACTTTGTATCATTCTATTACTTTGTATCATTCTATTACTTGGTATAATCCCTATCACTTTGTATCATTCTTGTTCTCTTAGTTTGTATCATTCTGACTCTCTTGTCCTCACTCTGGCTCCCCATCTAATGATGCTCAGTCTCATGGTACCACGTCGGTCCTCCCAGCGCCGTCACTCACCTGTTGCTGCCAGCATCTTGCGCCCGGCTCCCTGTGATGCACCTGTGTGCCAGGTGACATGTTTTTATAGCTGTCCTCCCCCCACCCCCCCATGTCGCTTCTGGGTTCAGTGGGACGTCAGCCACCCCCCGCCACGCTGCTTACAGAGGAATCTCCATTCTCACCATCCGCTTCCTTCTAAGAAACGGAGGAGAAGGAGGAGAGGGGCCGGGAGGGAGGGAGGCGGGCGTGGAGAGGTGAGTCGAGGAGAAGGTATTTGGAGCAGGGGTGGGCGGGGGGAAGACGCGGCCGATGGAGAGGGCTGACATAGGTGACTCGCCGCTTCCTCCTCGTTTACCCCCCAGAGCCGTCACCTCGCTCGCTGCAATTATCAGCTTTGAAAGGAGCTGACGGAAGTTGGTGCCGGGACAATGAGGCACAGGAGGGGTAGGGTTACCGGGC